AGTTGTCTATTGTGAATAACGGTCACTCATACAACAAAAGATCTCATTTGGAACGAGTCTTCAATGATTCCCACACGTACACAGGATAGTTAATGGAACAGTCCACTATTGGATGAGCATTCTTTTAGTTACCATAATGAACAGAAGCAATTCACACAAACAGATCTTATTCGCTTTGGACTGTTCAAAGAAACCACCAATCGCATATTTTGCGAACTACTCACAAATGTGATTAGTGCGTCACGACACTGCTAACGTGGCAGACATTATTCCCCACCAATCGCACCCAAAATATTAAACAATCCTATGAAGAATGATCTAATGAACACCAAGAGACTCCCCCTTACATCCTCAGACCAGATCACAGAAATAGCGGCTCGTACCAACGAGGGTCTAACTCCGTGTGTTACCGGGCCCGATGACTTTTGATTTTATGGTTCTAGGGGACTTCTCTTCAGTAGGAAGGAAGAATAGAGATTTTAATGTTTCACTGTAAATAATCCTACTCGCCACGCCGTAACCGGAAACACGTACCCGAAATATATATGGTACGGTCGCCTAGTTTGAGTACTTGAAGCTACTTTTTTTAACATACCTAATTTCTCGGACCAGTGGGGAAGAACGAAGTGTCAGCAAATTCGGATTTGCTCACCACATTATGTTCACTTCAGGTTCATTTCTTACAATCATTATCTACGCATTTTCATGCCCCAGTTTTTGTTGTTGTCCTATGGCTGCTCATTTGGATAAAAGAGCCGAATGAAGATTGGAATGTTGGGAATAGAGACAAAGAAAGATAACCACCAGTTACCCGATCGATCTCGATCGGTTGAGCACGGCAAACGTTCAGTTCAGTTCAGTTTGTACAACCATTAGCCATGCACTATCGTGCGCCCGTTTTGGTCACTGTCTTTTGGTTGCCCATTTGGATGAAGCAGTAGGAGAAAGACAGGAAGGTTGAACGTAGAGTCGAGGAGAAAATGGAGAATTTCGGTAGACTAAGGTTGCAAAGAAATTGAGAAGATGCACGAACGCGCCACTATTTGCGACACCCAGCCATATCAATCAGTGTCCCTAACCATTGGTGACCATCATCCTGAGGTCCCCAGCCAGGGAGCCTCACGGTACCGTTGTGACCCAGCCTCTTGGTGAGGGTTTTAACACTCATGCCACGTGTCAGTTCGACCACTCTTGACCTTTTCCATCTGCTGCTGCCTGTCTCGGCAAATATCGCGTGCCGTGACAACCCATTTGGTCATATTGTAGTGAGAAGGCGAGCTGGCTGGGAAAACGCTTATTGATCCAATTAAAAAACAACCGGTGTACGCGTTCAATTATATACATTCAATTCTTAACCACGCGGCAGGACGACTCATGCCTCTTTCTGTTGGTCCGCACTTTGCACGTACGTTGCCTCTTCTTCCGCATGCCATTCCAGCTGGTTTGAACCGATCGTAGCGCGAGATACGTAGATCGACCGCTCCGACGTAATGGTATTCGGTGTATATCTTTTTGGCTAGCTGCGGATTATCTGTCGGGCTGTAATTGTCCATTCGTTCGTTGCGGGTGGTAGTCAACTTTGTCTCTCGAGATACTCTCAGTCGCTACGTCTGCGCGTNCCATTCTTGATTCGTTCACTAGCCGGGGCCCTCTTTGTACCGCCTTCCATCACAATACACATAACACACGCCCAACCACTGTAGTCTAGGGAGGCCGACCGAGCCTTCTGTATGCGCACCGACACTTCATCTCCGTCAGGTGAGATATAGCTGCCCAAATAACGAAATTCGTCTACTTCCTCTACTACTCTCTTGTTTAGAATGAGTTTGGGGGCAACATTTTACACCTTGAAAGTGTAAAACGCATACCGAGCATGGCTACACTGGCACTCAACCTATCCAGAAAAGCTTTCAACTTACGTTGGAAGCACAATGTTGTCTGCATACTCTAGATCAGACAGTTTGCCGCCTGGGAGTAAATCGACGCCGATATCCCCGCAGAAGGCTAGGGCTGTTTCAAGAATGAAGTCCATGACAAAGTCAAACAGAAACGGAGAGAGAGGATAACCCTGACGGACTCCAATTTCCGTGGTGAACTCGGGCAAAACAGTGTTGTAAACTCAGTTTCGGCTATTGCTGCAAAGAGATCGCACAATTGAAATTAACTTCTCGGGTACATCCTTCACGGAGAGGCAGCGCCAGAGTTTAGAGCGGTCGACTGAGTGGAAAGCCGTTTTCAGATCGAGGAAGATAGGGATGGTGGGTCTACGAAAGGAGTGTCTGGGTTCTATAATTTGGCGAAGGGTGAAAATGCGATCTATATAACCTCGACTGGGTCCAAAACCAGCCCGGTTCTAACGCACGCACCGTTCACGGGCGGTAGACAATCGGTGAAATCATTAAAGCCTCGAAAAACCCAGCTCCCTCATCATCTAGTCGACGGTGGTACGCCATGCAAGGGTAATTACATCACAACTGGCAGTGAATATCTGGTCCAATGACGTGAATGCTCCACAGTGGTTAAGTGTAACCCCACGTCACCGAAATGGGTCATCCGTTGTGATAGCAGAGCGACAATAAGTCAATCACAACAAAAAGTAGTTCGACAAATATTGAGATGTATTATTACTATGTTTAATCAATACTAAAAATCACAAAGTAAGCTCATTGTTATAATCAGAACACAGATTGTAGGCGAACTCATGTTTTGGGTGAGTTTCTTCCCAAGCCATCACAGTTAGGTTAATACGTAAGAAAATAACGGGAGGGTGTTGTGTTGGGGTCAAACGGACGAGGTCCAATAATTATCACAAAGGGATGGGGTACGGATAAGTTTATCTGCAGTTCTGTTCAGATAAGTAAGGGTGGATGCTAGTTCGGTTTTCAGTGATCAGTTATCATACTCCACAACAAATCTAGGGCTGTTCGAATAAAAACGCGAGGAACAGTCGAGGCAATTAGCATCCAATTATTAAAGACATAATTGTTTGCACACAAAAAACACTTTTTCAGGCATTTAAACTTCCCTGACCCGAAGTGAAAAACATCAGGCATGAGCATTGTAATGATCCAATCAATTTCTTATGCTTACATTACCCGTTCTTATCTGGGCGAGAGACAACCGTGTCCCTACCCCATGCCTTCGTAATGCTAAAATCAACGCCTCGTCGCCGAAAAGCTATTTGCTGCGAATGGGAAATCAATCGCCACTTGAGCCAACCTGAGATACAGAGACTGCATATTCGGATACCCAAGAAGGAAGATCATAAATCACAGTACCCGAGTGAAATCAACCACTGTTCAAAAGTTGTGGCTGTCACAGGTACGTGTGGGATTTGTAGTGCTCCAAAACACAACGACCCGGCTATATTCCTCCTGATCACTACATAGACGTTAATCAATCCATGGCGAAAACGTTTCTTGGTGCACGTGGTAGTGGTCAATGTGTTCAGTCGCGTGCTCTGGCTTCTTCATTGGGCAGAGATTCATACCCGGTCAGCCCCCCCCCCCCCC